GATGGGCACAATAAAGGACAGAAATGGTTTGGACCTAACAAAAGCATAAGATATTAAGAAGAGGTGGCAAGAATACATAGAACTATACAAAAAAGATCTTCACAACCCAGATAATCACGATGGTGTGATCACTCACCTAGAGCCAGACATCCTGGAATGTGAAGTCAAGTGGGCCTTACAAAGAATCACTACGAACAAAGCTAGTGGAGGTGATGGAATTCCAGTTGAGCTATTTCAAATTCTGAAGTGAAAGTGCTACACTCAATATGCCAGCAAATTTGGAAAACTCAGCAGTGGCCACGGATTGGAAAAGGTCAGTTTTCATTCCAATCCCTAAGAAAGGCAATCCCAAAGAACGCTCAATCTACCGCACAAGTGCACTCATCTCACACGCTAGTAAGTAATGCTCAAAATTCTCCAAGCCAGGCTTCAGCAATACATGAACAGTGAACTTCCAGATGTTCAAGCTGGTTTTAGAAAAGGTAGAGGAACCAGAGATCAAATTGCCAATATCCGCTGGATCATTGAAAATCCAAGAGAGTTCCAGAAAAACATCTATTTCTGCTTTACTGACTATGCCAAAACCTTTGACTGTGTGGATTACAATAAACTGTGGAAGATTCTGAAAGAGATGGGAATATCAGACCACGTGACCTTCCTTTTGAGAAACCTATATGGCAGAGGTCGGCTCGCCTCTCCTCCAAGATGGAGAGCGGCTGCAGTGGGGGGGTTTCGGTGCCTGCGCTTTGGAGTGAAGTGAACCGTTATGGCCAGAACGGTGACTTCACGCGCGCTCTCAAAACCGTCAACAAGATACTGCAGATCAACAAAGATGACGTTACTGCCCTGCACTGTAAAGTGGTTTGCCTTATCCAGAACGGAAGTTTCAAGGAAGCCTTGAATGTCATCAACACTCACACCAGAGTGTTTGCCAATAACTCTCTTTCCTTTGAGAAGGCATACTGTGAGTACAGGCTGAACAGAATTGAGAATGCCTTGAAGACAATAGAAGGCGCCAACCAGCAGACAGACAAACTAAAGGAGCTTTATGGACAAGTGTTATACCGGTTAGAACGCTATGATGAATGCCTGGCTGTATATAGAGATCTTGTCCGAAACTCCCAAGATGATTATGATGAGGAGAGAAAAACAAATCTTTCAGCCGTTGTTGTAGCTCAAAGTAACTGGGAAAAAGTGGTTCCAGAGAACTTGGGTCTGCAAGAAGGCACGCACGAGCTGTGCTACAATACTGCGTGTGCTCTCATAGGACAAGGCCAGCTGAGCCAGGCAATGAGAATTCTGCAAAACGCTGAAGATCTCTGCCGCCGTTCATTTTCAGAAGACTCTGATGGGATTGAAGAAGACCCCCAGGCAGAACTGGCCATCATTCATGGGCAGATGGCCTATATTCTGCAGCTTCAGGGTCGTACAGAGGAGGCTTTGCAAGTTTACAACCAGATAATAAAATTAAAACCAACAGATGTGGCATTGCTAGCCGTGATTGCAAATAACATCATTACAATTAACAAGGACCAAAATGTCTTTGACTCCAAGAAGAAGGTGAAGTTAACCAATGCAGAAGGAGTGGAGTTTAAGCTTTCTAAGAAACAACTGCAAGCTATAGAATTTAACAAAGCTTTACTTGCTATGTACACAAATCAGGCAGAACAGTGTCGCAAAATATCTGCCAGCTTACAGTCACAGAGTCCTGAGCGTCTCCTTCCTGTGCTAATCCAAGCTGCCCAGCTCTGCCGTGAGAAGCAGCACACGAAAGCAATAGAGCTGCTGCAGGACTATTCAGATCAGCATCCAGAAAATGCTGCTGAAATTAAGCTGACGATGGCACAGCTGAAAATTTCCCAAGGTAATATTTCCAAAGCATGTTTGATATTGAGAAGCATAGAGGAATTAAAGCATAAACCAGGCATGGTGTCTGCATTAGTGACAATGTACAGCCATGAGGAGGATACTGACGGTGCCATCGAAGTCTTTACACAGGCCATCCAGTGGTATCAAAGCCATTAGCCCAAATCTACTGCTCATTTGTCCTTGATAAGGGAAGCTGCAAACTTCAAACTCAAATATGGGCGGAAGAAGGAGGCAATTAGTGACCTAGAACAGCTATGGAAACAAAATCCCAAAGATATTCACACCCTGGCGCAGCTTATTTCTGCTTACTCACTTGTAGATCCTGAGAAGGCAAAAGCTCTTAGTAAACACTTGCCCTCATCGGATAGTATGTCTCTAAAAGTAGATGTTGAGGCTCTTGAAAATTCTCCTGGTGCTACGTATGTTCGGAAGAAGGGTGGAAAAGTTGCTGGAGACAGTCAACCAAAGGAGCAAGGACAGGGAGATTTGAAAAAAAAAGAAGAAAAAAAAGAAGGGAAAACTGCCTAAGAATTATGACCCAAAAGTGACCCCAGATCCAGAAAGATGGTTACCAATGCGTGAACATTTCTACTACCGAGGAAGGAAGAAGGGTAAAAAGAAGGATCAGATTGGAAAAGGGACCCAGGGAGCAACTGCAGGAGGTTCCTCTGAACTGGATGCCAGTAAAACTGTGAGCAGCCCACCCACCTCGCCAAGACCTGGCAGTGGAGCCACAGCGTCCACATCTACAAGTAACATCATACTCCCAAGACACCAGAAACCCGCTGGGGCTCCAGCAACAAAAAAGAAACAGCAACAGAAAAAGAAGAAAGGTGGAAAAGGTGGCTGGTGATTAGAACATTCTTGTTGCAGGCCATTTTTAAACTAGCCTCAGTGACACAAGGGAAGTAAATAAAGGTAACACAGCAAGAAGCACAGAGCTGTTCCCTCTCCCACCCCTACATCTTCATGAAACTGTTTTGTTGTGCATCAAACAGAAAAGCATCTTCCTTCAAACTCTGCCTATTCAGACGGCCTACTAGTACCACCTTGCTTCGCAGAGATGATGAGGATGCAGAACAGTTGGGCGTTTAACCCACCTTGATATCCATCGCATCCTTTCTCTTTGTGTGCTGATCTGGTATTGTTTTCAGTTTCAGAAACAAGGCATGTTACCCAACGTTTCCTAGGATATAAACAGAAGCTACTACTGTTTCAACTAGAGTCCAAAGATACTTGTTCCTTCAAGTCCCATTTTATGTCTTAGGAAGTCTTAGGAGACTGAAAGTGGAGTCTTCTGAGCATTCCAAATATCTGCTTAGAGAGAGCATGTAATAAAAGGGACCTTATTAATACACTGGTGTTTTCACTTCACTACATGAGTGGCCACAAAAAAACTAAATTAAATGTCTTGATTATTCTGACTGTAAATTCTCTGTCATGTGATATTGGAATATGGGCTACTAAATATATGTGGTAATGAAAAGTATGTGTATGTATATACATATATACACACACAGATATAAAGTAGGACTTCTTTATGCCCCCATGTCATTTTTAAATTATTAAATTATGCTAATTTAGCACTATCGAAGATATCAAGAGAAATACATCAATGTTGCAAGAAGTTGACACTTAAAGACGCAGTGTTCTGAGGTCAGATGGATTTGGACCCTCTTGGTCAGAAAGATTTAAATGGCCCCTATCGAGCATGAACATTGACTTCCAACAGAGAGGCAATCAATGCCAGAGTTGAGGAGTAGGCAGTATTAAAGCTTAAAAGAGCTGTTTGGCCCAATTAATAGATCTCAAATGACTCCTCTTTCTAGTTGCGGGGCATGACCATTCACACTCTTCTCAAAGTAATGAAAGTCAGTCCGTGATATCAGTGTCACTTTGTTCTTGCCTTGCTTACAGGTCACTTTCTTACTAAACAGGTGAGAGGCAGACACACCAGCATGCCTACCCAAGTTAGTGTTCATTTTATGCTGCCCAGGATAGCATTCAGTTTAGACTTGCGAGTATTTCCTGTGATCATAGCGCTCTGTCCTTGTTAATGAAGTGCTGCTGTGTTTAAACGTACCTGCTAAAACTTCACAGGGTTTTTGAAAGTTTTTCCTCCTTTTCCAGAGTAAGAAATGTGGTGCTGCCTTTCTGTTTAACATAATCTATCAAGAGACCCTCTTCTATGAATGATTTATTATGGCATTATACTTTCTGAGCTCTCAGAATAGTCTTTTGGTAAGAGTGACAGATATTTATTCCTTCTGAATATAGAGCCCACTACAATAATAATTGTTAGTAAGTTTATGATTTTAGGATTCTGTTAAATTTCTGTAGTGAAGGATAATCAATTCTTAGGTTACAGAATTTTNGGACTGCAAGGAGATCCAACCAGTCCATCCTAAAGGAGATCAGTCCTGGGTGTTCATTTGGAAGGACTGATACTGAAGCTGAAACACCAATACTTTGGCCACCTCATGTGAAGAGCTGACTCACTGGAAAAGAACCTGATGCTGGGAGGGATTGGGGGCAGGAGGAGAAGGGGACGACAAAGGATGAGATGGCTGGATGGCATCACCGACTCGATGGACATGCTGCTGCTGCTAAGTCACTTCAGTCGTGTCCGACTCTGTGCGACCCCATAGATGTCAGCCCACCAGGCTCCCCTGTCCCTGGGATTCTCCAGGCAAGAACACTGGAGTGGGTTGCCATTTCCTTCTCCAATGCATGAAAGTGAAACGTGAAAGTGAAGTCGCTCAGTTATGTCCGACTCTTAGCAACCCCATGGACTGCAGCCTACCAGGCTCCTCCATCCATGGGATTTTCCAGGCAAGACTACTGGAGTGGGCTGCCACGAGCTCGCGTAAACTCCGGGAGTTGGTGATGGACAGGGAGGCCTGGCGTGCTGAGATTCATGGGGTTGCAAAGAGTGGGACACGACTGAGTGACTGAACTGAACTGAACTGAACTGGAGTCTATGGTATGCATTCTGTTATTTCTTAACATATCTTTACCAAAATGTGAATATGATCTTAACTGCCGAGGGTGGAGGCATGATTTTCAACCATTGTTATCTGTTAGGCATTAACCTAACAGTAGTTTTAATTACTTTAAAATTCTGCACCCATCCTATAAAATATCATGTATAAATATTAAGACAGTGGGTAAGTTTGGGAATCAGGATAAACACAGTAGCCATCAACTCTGAGAACAAACGTGTCATGTGATTACTCAATGTGCTTTGAAAAAAGAGGAAAGTGGAGAGGGGCATCCCAAAACCATTCTGTCTTTCCCAGGTATCTTCTTTCTGCCTTACAAAAAGCAAATACTATGAGTACACATAATGTATTTGATAACATCCTTACTCTGAGTCAATGTTCTCCAAGAACTTGTATCTTTGACCAAGCCTAAGAAAGTGCACACCATGTCTACCTGGCCGGCTCGTCAAACACGTGTCAAACCTACGTCTTTCACTTAATACAAGTCCCACCCCCACCCTCAACTCCAGACACTGTGACTGATTCTACTCAGAGGCCCTAGACTCATTCTCAGAAAGAGGAAAGAGCCAAGAATAGACCCACAGAATGCAAGGAGCACCACGAGCTCTCCAAAGAATGCTAAAATCGTAGGGGTCAGAGAGTCAAAAGCCAAATCTGTAGCCTGTCTGCCGTTCTCCCATTCTTACCCCTCTCCAAACTCTGGTGGCTCAGAAGGTAAAGAATCCATCTGCAATGCAAGTACCAGGTTTTGATCCCTGTGTTGGGAAGATCTCCTGGAGAAGGGAATCGCAACCCACTCCAGTATTCTGGTCTGGAGAATCCTGTGGACAGAGGAGCCTCGCAGCTACAGTCCATGGGGTCACGAAGAGTCAGACACGACTGAGTGACTTACCCTTCCACCAGGTCTTACTAAGTAACCCCAGGTTCTCAACCTGGATCTATGTGAGTTTAAATAAAAAAAAATATATCCTGGTCATTTGTGATCAGTTCTCAGTTTTGGGATTGCCTGGCATCTTAGTCCTCTTCCTACTTTTAAGTAGTCTTTCAAAGAAAAAAACAAACAAAGAAATCTTCCACGTTATGACTCTGCCTCCCAATAAAGCTACTTGCTTCTGTAGATAATTTCTTTTCCAGCCTTCTTTTCTGCTAGAGAATGGACATACAATCTATGATCAACCAAAACTCTGAATGCAGAGCCAGTTTTACAAGAAAGCAGGAATACTGAAACCATTCTGCTATGGAAGGGGCATCAACTAAATGACCTTCCAACTGGAGCAATTGAGTCTGGTGTTCACAAACTGCATGGGGTCACCAGACTGACTGTATGATGTCAATCTGGATGTGATCCTGGCAGCTGCTAAGCTTTCCCTTGTTCCAGTGTGTTTTCTCAACACAGTTATGGGCAGCCTTCTCAAGACTCTGTAAACTACCCAATATTGTTTCAATGAATTCCTCTCTACTTAAACAGCTATCTATTGTTTGCTACTAAGAACTCTCATGGGGAACAAGATTTTTTTTTTTTTTTTACTTATGGTGTGCAATATTTTAGTCATCTGATGTGAACAGCTGACTCATTGGAAAAGTCCCTGATGCTGGGAAAGACTGAGGGCAGAAGGAAAAGAGGGTGTCAGAGGATGAGATGACTGGATGGCATCACCAATGCAATGGATATGAATTTGGGCAAACTTCAGGAGATGGTGAGGGACAGAGAGGCCTGGCGTGCTGCAGTCCATGGGGTCACAAAAAGTCAGACATGACTAAGCGACTGAACAACAACACATGCAGAACTAGTTAACACAAAAGAAAGAGGACAGGCCTTAAAGTCAGAAATAAATAGATTCAAAACCTGGTTGTGCAATGCACTAGTCGCCATGTGATCCTGCACAAATAACAACTGTCACCAGGAGGGATCACACCGTCACCCTCAGTACACTGTGATGATTACCTAAGATAACATACTTCAGGGATCTGACACTCACGACCTTGTCATGAGGGTAAAGCCAGGGCCTTTTCCAGCATTCTTTCACTCAACAAATGGCACCATCTTCCATCTAACCATATTAGCCAGGAACTAGGAATTGTCCTGTTTATCTTCCTTTATAAGTCTGGTGGACGGTCTTCCTAAATAGCCTCCACATCTATTTCCTTCTCACAACCTTGTCTATGACCCCCCAATCCATGGTACTCTATTTGACAAGAAAAGTTCAAAACTGTCTTGAACTTGAAAACTGTTTCAACAGCTTCCTAAAACTGTTCTCCTTATGCTAAGCTGCTTCAGTCGTGTCTGACTCTTTCCCACTTCATGGACTGTAGCCTGCCAAGCTCCTCTGTCCGTGGGATTCTCCAGGCATGGAGTGGGTAGCCATGCCCTTTTCCAGGGAATCTTCTCAACCCAGGGATCGAACCCGCGTGTCTCCTATGTCTTCTGCACTGGCAGGTGGGTTCTTTACCACTAGCGCCACCTGGGAATAGTCCCCATGCAATCCATTTTTAAACTGAAATAATAATGATTTAGATAATAAGTCTGAGCATTTAAAACACCCAGTCCCACCCAGCACAGCCTCCTGAAGTACCCCTGCTCACAAAGCTCTAACCGCCCACTCGGCTCAGCGCTCTAGAGACACCAGCCTCCTCCCAAACCCTACTTCCTCCTACCTAAGAGCCTCTGCCTGCAATTCTCTTTCCCTCCAACTGTCACATCCCTCACAGGCCTACACATCCCTCGCATCTCAGCTCAAGTAGCACTTCTTGGGGAATCTTTCCTTCTTCCCTCAAACTATACCAAATCTGCCCTGTAACTTACAACTCCATAAGCCCCTTGTATCTCTCCTTCATAGCACTTATCAGAGCTGCATTGTTCAAGCGATTTTCATATCATCTCCCTAGTTTCCTACTAAACCATAAGCTCCATGATGGCAGGAAGCATCTACTTCTATCCACTTCTCTTCACTACTATTCCCCCAGGACTAAGCACTGCTTCTACTACATACAGTTCACTAACCAGCTTGTTAAGAAATGACTAAATAGCACACTGCCCAGCATGTGATGGATACTCAGTAAATATAAGCTGTCCAGACTTTAAAACAAATAAAGACACTCTACTGATTTCAAACATAATTAACAAAAATGCATAATTAAACTTTTAGTAATATAACTACAAATATTATAATCATATAATGTGAAATTAACCATACTTACTGGAATTCCTTGTAACTGCGGTTTATCTAGAAGATTATGTAGTTCATTTCGAGAGGCTTCTATCTTTTCACGATCTGCAGCATCTATCATGTAACTTAAAAAAAAAAAAAAGTGATCTAAAAATGCCTCCACCACATTCTTTGATGATCACAATGAACAAATTTTTAATTTTCTTAATTTACACTACTGAAACTGTTGATCAAAATTAAGTCCTAGATTTTAAAAGGCTGTTACCCCAAAATACTTTTTAATAGACTGTCCTACAAACTACTATATACAGAATTAGATAAGCTTCAAGGATATATAACACAGGAAATCATACCCATTATCTTTCAATAATCCATAATGGAGTATAACCTGCAAAAATACTGAATCTCTATGCTGCACACCTGAAACTCATACTGTTAATCAACTAAACCCCAATAAAATAAGCAGAGAAACAGACTGCTCTTTAGGGGGTAAAACATGTATATCCATTAGCTCTTAGCAACATACAGAAAAAAACAAAACTCCAATTTGATGATTAATTTTTTAAAGTCTGATGTTAATGGGAAATTATACTAAGAAAATACCTAAAAAAGATTTTACTGCCAGAAATAAAAATTAAGCCTTTAGAAGTATGGAAAATGACTTATTTCCTTGAAACCTGAACTGACTGTAAGGGGGGTGAGGGCGGAAGGGAGGCAGCTTACACAATAGCGTTGACTCCTCTGCAGTACCGTTCCCACATGCTCCGGAAGCGGGGTTGTCCTCCTATGTCCCAAATCTTCAAACCAAGACAGACATATCTTAATATTTCAAATAACACAGTGAAGAAATAAGTGGCAGATGGAAGGGAAAACAAGCAGCAGATATGCTCAGCTCCACAATGTTAGAGCCAAACTGCTTTGGAAAAATCCGAACTCAAACAAGCTCTTGTCCTGGAAGTTCTTGGGGCCATCTCTGAACTTGGAAGTTCATATTTAACACATTTACATTAGATCTAATAGGTGCTGCTTGAGCAACGATTTCATTTTGGGGCAATACTTTCTTTGCCTGTTAACCAATAGATTTCCAATATTGAAAACCTATTTTTAAAAAAATAGTAACTCTTAGAATCTGCATGATCACACATCATCCACCTTTGAAGTCCAAGAGAAAAAAAAAACTCTTCATTCAGAATCTATTAAAAGTTTAATTGTCTGATGGGGTATATATATTAGGATGTAATCATTTTAAATTATTCTGTATATAACATAGAAAATATTCCTACCTAGATGCTTTTCTTATATAAAGTTATTTTATCCATATGAAAGCCACCAACTACAGTTACTGCACTATTATGGCTATTCTGTAGGGCTATGTAAAGGTCTTAAGTCATGATGTTTATCTTCAAAAGGCTTCCAATTTAGCTACAGACACTGGACGCATGCATAATGACATACACGAGACATTAGAAGCTTCATTAGAAAAGCTACAGAAAGAATTTAGCAAACAGCTTCTGTGAGCCACAAGAACTGGGTAAAATGGCCATAAGGGTTCATGCTATAGAAGCAAAACTTCCCACATGAACAAAGGAGCTAAAAATAATGAAAATAAATTAAAAACCGGTCCAACAGTCCACAATGCAAACCTATCAAACTTATTCTAGAAACAAAATTATGTTAAACTAGTTAATTTTTACTGTTTTATAGTTTTAATTTTAGGGCTTAGTAGCAAAGAAAGGGAAAACTGGGTTACCGTATTTGCTACCATAAATACAATACTGAATTACCAATATTATAAACAGTTACTCTCTTTCAACATAAATTATTCATGAAATATATGCAATATTACATTCCAAACACTCTGAAGATGGGATTTTTATTTCCCAGAAACATCTAAATCCCAAATATTACTTCTGTCAACCCATATGCAAAGTTTTTTATGGGACTTCACATTTCAACACTTAAACATTCTTATCTATTAGAGAAAGAAGGAAAAAAATTAATTTACACTCTTTTGGAACATGCCCAATTAAGAACTGCCAATACTCATGTAAAAACCAAAGAAACAAACAGAAAAATTCCTAATTTGTATGTGCTAACAATTTACATCAAGTATGGCAAGCAGCTGACGTACCTTTATTGTGACGTTACCTTTAGTTACTTTTCTCATGTTGAAGCCCACTGTGGGTATCATATCTTCACTGAACTGACCTGACTGAATGAAAGAAAACATTTGAAGTTACAATAATTATTACTTATTAAAACTGCAACACTGTATAACCTTTCACATCAACATTACTTCTGTACCCATATTAGAAAATAACTAATTTTTTAGTGATGGTAACCTTAAGAAAATACTGATAGCCATAGCTTCTGAAGAGACGCGTTTTTTTCATTCACAGACATTCTCCTTTTAAAGATATTTTTGAAACTAATGCAAATTTTATATATTTTTAAGTTTAAGAAAAATACTGTACAACTACTTAAGAAATCTGTTATGTAAATTTCCTCCACCTATACATACATTTTTGTATACAGGGTAGAAGTAAATCAGAAGTAAATGGTTAAAGTTTCCTATTTGTAGCACTGAAATTATATTGACAATACTGTTAAAATTCACTGCTGCTCTTCTGAGTCAACTTTTTAATAATGCTTATTTTTTTTTTTTCCATAAAGATGATCCTCCTTTTATGTAGGATTCTATTCTATTCAATTCCATTCTCTTTTTGGTTTATAACCTTCCTGTCAGAGACCAAAATTAAGTATCTTCTAATACTATTTATATTTTTAAATGTTTATCCATCTGGAATTTGATTACACAGTGTAACAAAGGTCCATTTTACAAAGGGATCTATAAATCCACACTTTCCTGACTAGATTGATGTGAAATGGCAAATTTCACATAGCGGCAGTTCTATATCTGAGTCCTCAATTCTTTTCCATTAGGCTGTTTTTTTCCAATTGGAAATAAATTAGGATTACACAAATTACTGTAGCTTATCTATATATTATTCTAAATAGCAAATCAAGAATTTGGAATGTTTAGAAATGTGGTTGATCTCTCACATTTGAAATAAACTTTAGAAAGTAATTATTTCTGTCACAATACTAGCTGCCTTTTGTCAACTCTTGACACTGAACGAAGTCTCTCCACCCAAGCACGTATGTCTGTCCACTCAAACGTTCTTTATATCCTCCAGTGAAGTACACCTAATCAGTCACATTAATACTGATTTTATATATTATGTATTTTGCGAAATGTTTCTCAAATGATCTGACTTGGGAATATGAAATATATCAACACGGGGCTCATTAAACAAATGGGACTATTTTAAAGGCCTTAACATCGGCCCATTGTTAGCCACACATTCACTTCAAAATGTCTACAAGTACTGAGAACAATGAATTCCAATTTCACAAGCTAATTTCTTCTACATAACCCCCAAAATGTTCTACTTCTTTTTCTTTTCCCCTACTGATCAGTGGCGTTTGGGCTAATCTCAGAAAAAATGTTAACACAACCATAATCACTATTTTATTTATACCTGTCAAACAGTATAATTTTCAGAACTTTCATATATGTGATTTATATGTGAAGATTTAGTTGTGATATTAAAACTACATATATCAAAACTAGCCATGACAAAAGAACAAAAAATATAACCTGATTAAAACATGCACAGAGGTAACATCAAAGGCATGCTCTATAAAGGAAATAATAAGCTAACTTCATTAAACACTTCTGCTCTGCAAAAGACAATGTCAAGAGACTCAAAACAAGCCACAGAGTAGGCGGAAAATATTTGCAAAAGACATCTGATAAAAGACTATTATTGGAAATATACAATGAACTGTTAAAACTCAACAATATGAAAACAATCCAATTAAAATATGAGCCAAAGATCTTACCAAAGGAGATATACAGATGGCAAAGAAGCACACGAAAAGACACACCACATCATACATCACCATGAAAATGCAATTCAGAACAATGAGATACCACTGCAATCCATTTAGAGTGGCCCAAATCTGGTATTTTTTGATAACACCAAACGCTGATGAAGATGTGGAGTAAGAGGAACTCTCAGTCACTGCTGATAGGTTTGTAGAAAGGTGCAGCCACTCTGGCAGACAGCTGACAGTATTTTACAAAACCAAACACACTCTTACCATACAACCCAGCAATCACACTCCTTGGTATTTACCAAAGGGCTTGAAAACTTAAGTCCACACAAAAATCCACACATTAAATGATTACTGCATCATTATTTATAATTGCTAAAACCTAAAACAACCAAGATGCCCTTCAGTAAGTGAACAGATAAGACCGGTACATCCAGACAATACAGTATTATTCAGTACTAAAAAGAAAGGATGTATATTATCTAGGGTGAAACAGATCACCAGCCCAGGCTGGATGCATGAGACAATTGCTCGGGCCTGGTGCACTGGGAAGACCCAGAGGGATCGGGTGGAGAGGGAGGTGGGAGGGGGGACCGGGATGGGGAATACATGTAAATCCATGGCTAATTCATTTCAATGTATGACAAAAACCACTGCAATGTTGTAAAGTAATTAGCCTCCAACTAATAAAAATAAATGGGAAAAAAAAAAGAAATGAGCAACTAAGTCACAAAGGACATGGAGGAATCCTAAACGCGTATTTAATGAAAGACCCAATGTGGCAAGACTACATACTGCATGGTTCCAACAATATGATATTATGAAAAAAAGAAAACAGTAAATAAAAAGAGCAGTGGTTGTCAGGGGTGGGAGAATGAAAACAATATGGCAGTTCCTCAAAACTCTAAAAACAGAATTACCACATGATCCAGCAATTCCAGTTCTGAGTATATACCCAAAATAACTGGAAGTAGGAATTTGAGATATTTATACAACCATGTTCACAGCATTATTCACAACACCCAAAATGTGGAAGCTACCTAGCGTCCATCTGATGATGCACAGATAAACAAAGTGTGGTCTATCCCTACAATGTAGTACTATTCAGCCTTAAAACCTTATTCACGCTCCATCATGGAGGAACCGTGAGGACATTATGTTAAGTGAAACAAGCCAGGCACAAACAAAGATAAATACTTCATGATTCTATTTATATGAGAAACCTACAGTAGTTAAATTCATAAAGACAGACAGTAGAATGGTAGTTGCCAACGGCTAGAGCGGTGGAAACAGGGAGTTAATGCTTAGTGGGTATGGGATTTCAGGTTGGGTAGATAAAAGGTCCTATTGATGGAGAGTGGTGATGGCTACACAGAAATGTGAATGCACTTATTAGTACTGAATTATACACTTAACAGTTAAGAGGGTAAATTTTACATCTTGTGCATTTTACAATTATAGAAAATTGTGTGATGTAAATGAAGGCAATCATCATTATCATTTTATGGAACAGGAAATAAATTCCCAAGGTCACACTGCTCAACAGTGGTTATTTTTCTTAAAGTTCACCACTGTGAATTATAATAGGCTGTAATTAATTAGTATCTGAGGAGAGGTCTGAGATAATGCCTCATTTATTTGGTATCATTAGGAAAAGAAGCTATACATAATGAGGCAGGCAGAAATCGTAGATGAAGTTTTTAGGTACCAAAACTTCTAAAACAGCTTGTACACAAAGCTTTCTAAAGTGCAGTACATACTTGTCTGACTTTTCACAATCCGTGGAATATGACTGAATATGTTCTTGGTGTTTCAGGGTCATTTTACAAATTGTAAAACAAGAAAACTAAACTCCATAATCCTCAAGGGCCCTTCTGGCAGTAAAATTTTATGATTATGATCATGATGTAGGGGCTGCAGTATACTCAGCTGACCCTGAACTGTCTTAGTTGTTCATCTCTTTCTTCACTGCTACTTCTCACTGCTGGCAGATGTTAACCATAGTTTTCCCTCATTCACCTGCCACTGATAACCTGCAAAGGCTGAAAATTAGGTAATCATATCTTTGGGTTTTTAATTCCAAATGTCCTGAGTACAGCACAATGTTCAAAAAACATTTGTTGGCTTTGATGAATGGATTTTGTGGAATAACAACTTTATAGAATTGGAAGCATTTTCTACTTCTTTCTTAGTGTCAAACCTTAATTGTCACTTTTCAAAGCTTGTGTTGAATGACTAAACCACTCAGTTGGCAATTGTGCTCTAAATAACAGAATTTATTTCTATGCTGTCAAAATGCCACTAAACTGAGACTAGCAATTTAGGAAACAAGTAGATGTTTGGAAAATACTACTTAATTGTGTATCATGCTCTTTCTTTTAACAAATACTTAAATAGCATGAAGCACTGTTCTAAATACTCAGTAAATATTAATCAGTATTAACTTACTTAATCCTAATAACAACCCTATGAAGTATGTAGCAATATCATTTTTCAGATGAGAAAACCAAGGCAATGACAGGTTAAGCCATTTTTGCTCAAAGTCACATTATTTTTAAGATCTGTAAAGAGAAATAAAAATATGCTTTCATACCTGTCTTCCTAAATAGCATATCAAATATAAACTGACCTTCACTTAACACAAATTCAAGATCATGAGTGGCACTCACAGTGATTTTGTGACAATGGATGAAACTGCAGCTATTACGCACACCTAGAGTCACAAGGTTGTATCTCTGGAATTTGTTTGGTGGGACGAAATAACTTTGAAGCAAAATAAGACGGTAAAAAGAAAAATACCTTCAAGATCGAGGAATCTTATTACCAGTTATACACACAAGTCATCTTACCTTCAGGATTAAGCTATCTTACTAGAAGAAAAGGAAACTGGAAGACTATCTCCAAAGTCACTTACAGCTCTAGCATTTATGGTTTTATGTTTATTCATCAGTTCAATTCAGTTCAGTTGCTCGGTTTTATCCAACTCTTTGCGACCCCAAGGAATGCAGCACGCCAGACTGCCCTGACCATCACCAACTTCCACAGCTTGCTCAAACTCATGTCCATCAAGTCGGTGATGCCATCCAACCATCTGATCCTCTGTCGTCCCCTTCTTCTGCCTTCAATCTTCCCCAGCATCAGTCTTTTCCAATGAATCAGTTCTTTCCATCAGGTGGCCAAAGTACTGGAGCTTCAGCTTAAGCATCAGTCCCTCAAATGAATATTCAGGGTTGATAACCTTGAGGGTTAACTGGTTTGACCTCCTTGCAGTCCAAGGGACTCTCAAGAGTCTTCTCCAACACCACAGTTCTA